TTATTATTATTGTTGTTGTTGTTGTCGCTACTGAGCAACAAAACTGGACCGCTGGATGCCCGACGCGGCGCAGCCTCAAGGGCCCTTCCTCCACGCAACTCCGCCCTTCCAGAAAAGGAAGCCGCCTGAGCCTTCAACTTCTCAGGCGTGACATCCGCAGACCCCATGAGAGTTTTCGGCTCGTGCAGAAGTTTCTTACCGGGTCCACTTTTCACGCGACCTTTTTTGTCTCGCCCGGGCTTGAGGGAATTAATGTCCGGCTGCGGCGAGACATCAAAGCTCGCCTCACTCCCTGGCCATGCAGGCAATGGCGAAAAGGTGTTGTCCCCCACCGCATGAAACCTGGTGACGGTTTTCAGTATGCCGCTGCTGTTGATTCCATCGGGGCTCTTGGGCGGCTTTGTGCTACCTGCCGGACTGGTGTGCAGAAACTTGCGGTGCTCGTCGAGACGGGCCCGATGACGGGCAATGACGTCGTCCACGTCCATCATTTACACAATTCGCTAAAAAAAAAAAAAAGTAGAATAACAAAGTACCCAACGAAGTTTTGTCAACTTCCGTGACCCTTAAAACCATCTTTTAACGCCAATCAAAAAAGAGGCAGTTAGTGTGCGTGTGTGTGCATGCATGCATGCGTCATCACAGGGACAATGGACACAGTGTGCAGATGATGGTTTCTGGGCGGGTGTAAGAAGGGAGAGAGTGGCTCCCCACACAATTCCACAAGAACAACAGGGCGATGATACAACAACAAAAACACAAATGCTCCCCAGTAAGTACACTGGGCGACAACGCACCTCTCCCGAGTGCGCCTCAACCTCCTCCCTCCCCGCACGAAAATCAACGCACACAGTCAAACACACCATGAAACAAACAAAAAAATGGTGGTTTTTCGCATTTCAGACGTCAGTCATTCTCAAAACTCACACGAGAGGCGCCGCAGCCCGCACGCATGACAAAATATCAACAAAGAAAAATACGATTCGTCACTTAACAACGTCCATTCCTTCTCTGTGTGTCGCTGTCCAATTGGGCACGATCGAACATTTCGTCCTCTTCTTGCATGGGAACGATGTGCAGCACCCCCCAGAAAGAAAATACATGGCGACAAGAAGCATCACCCACAAAAAGACGGCAAATTAAATATGAATGTGCAACTGCGTCCCCCTTCGTTCTCTCTCTCTCTCTCTCTCTCCTCGACACACACACACACACTTTTTAACGGCGCAGATACACACAAGAAAAAACAAACAAACAAAAAACAAGTAACAGCGATTCGGAAATATACCCCCCAAAAAGACACCTCCATTTAAGGAATTATTCTTCCTTGCCCAAAGCAGCAGATTTTGTGCTTGATCCCTTAAAAATTATTGTAAATATAAAGATATATTTTGCTTCACTTCACGCTACGCACCGGTGCGATTGTCATTGTCATCGTCTCCTCTTCACATCGCTAAAAAATTCAGAGTCGGTTACAATCAAACCTCCCCATTTCTCTCCACCTTTCTTTTGTACGTTTCCTTTCCTCGCCTCCCTGTTGTTTTTGTGGTGGGCGTTTGTAGGGAGGGAGGGGGTGCTCAAAATGGCAGCAGAAATCAGGCAGCATACACCACGCATCAACTGCAGACATGTCATGAAAAGAACTGGCAGCAGCAAAATGACGGCAAGGAGGAAACGCCGTCGCTGCTGCCAGCAAGGGAAAGAGAGAGAGAGAGAGAGAGACATATCCACAGCAATTAATTGTGTGTGTGTATGCGCACTCCATCAGTAAAAGCAGCCAAGGGAAAAATTTACACATTTACCGACGAGAAGGATATTTGGAAAGGGAGAAGAACAGACAACAAAAGACAGACGTCGCAATTCAAAACAAAAAACAAAAACAAAAACAAAAACAAAAACAAAACACAACACATAATCCACCCGAGCCGCAATCGTTCACACCAGACACACACAGAGAGAGGAATGACTAAAAGCGACAGTCTAAAAAACAACAACAAAAAACAAAAAAACACACAACCGGATTACATACGCAGAGCAAAACAACAAAACAAAAACAAAAACAAAAACAACAAAAACAAAAACAAAAAAGGAAGCGGAAACGCTCTCAGAAAGGACAAACGTAACTGCTCAATCGTATCAGCATCGGCCTCTCGTTGTGTGGTGCAGGCGAAGGCAGTACGCCGTCCGGGTGTCTTGATGGGTCAATTTGGCCATCGTCCTCGTCCCTCTTGTTATTCACATCGCGAAAGCCGTTGCTGTTGTTGAGGCATTTATCCCGCTCTTCATTGTCGGTGCTGTAGTAACACAAAAAATCAACAACGTGGCTCTCCCTCGCCGCCAGGCATTCTTCAATGATGGCATCCGTGTGGGTTGCTCCTGGCACCAAAATGTACTTTATATCCACAGGTGGTGCCAGACAGATGCCCATAGTTTGACCACTATTTGTATATTGTTCGGCCAATCGTGCATGTTGGGCGTTACGCATGAAAAAGGCGAGGTTTGCCGACTCTGAAAACGGGGCACTGCAGTCCGCATCCCCGTGAATAAAGTACATGCGCTGCGGGAGAAAATCAAAGATGTTTTCTGGCAGCACTTCCCCTGTGTCACCGCAGCGACGCTCATCAAAGTAAGAGTTCAGCGAGTACCGGGGCAGATTGGAGCGGCCACCGGCGATCTGGTAGAGCACGTTGCGATAAAGCCCTCGTCGATCAAAATGTTTCACCAGACCGCGAATATTATAAATGCCACTCAGTCCAATGTATTGACGAATGGAATCTCGAGGGTTGTATCGGGGTACATTGTACGCCATGTCGCTTGGTGGTGTTCCACCACACGCAGCACGCGCGCTCAATTGCGCCTGGGAAAGAATTGACATCATCGTGAGATGAGCGCCGGCTGACTGCCCAATGACTGTGATGTCCTCGGGATCCCCACCGTAGCGCCCAGCGTTATTTATCACCCATCCAATGGCGTCTGACACATCAAGTATCATTCCCTCCATGTCTGTCTGTGGGAAGTTACGGTAGTCCGGGCAGAACACAACATACCCACGTGCTGCAAGAAGCGGAGCCAAAAGAAAGTTCCAAAGGTAAAACCCAACAATCCATGCACCGCCATTAAAAGAAATCACAACAGGGAATTTTTTGTGCTGCAGTCTTGATCGTGGCGAGATCTTTTTCTCCTGTTCCATCATGCGAAACAGGGAGTCAAGGGGAATTGGCAAGTAAATGTCAAGTGCGGCGCGATTATGAAGATTGTTCCTGTCCTCTTCGTCCTCCTCGTCTTCTGAATCTCCCGTTGAATTCGGCTCCTGGGCTGCATCCGACGCCCAGTCAGGATTTTTATGCTCCCCCGCTGAAACGCCGTTACTTGCCGCATGTTCCCCAGCAGAAGCAGCGGCGTAGTAACTTTGAATAAAAGCCACGGTGTCGCTGAAGGAGCCGATTTTCATCACCTTTTCGTCGTCCAACACCTCTGGTGTTCGCGTGGGGGAAGAAAGCCGCCGCGGCAGCCCCTTCATCAACCGACCATCGGCGGGGTTTAGCTTCGTTGCCAGCAGTTCAACCGCATCCATATCAGGGCCAGAGCGCTGCTCAGCGGAGTCCTCTGAGACCTCACGCCCGCCTTCCTTGCGCCTCACCGGGGGAATACTTTTGACCTGCTGGAGGAATATCCGCAGGTTGCGCTGCCGTGTCCGTTTGGAGGAGCGGTACGAGACACGGCGAATGATGTTTGGCGACATGATGTACGCACAAATGTGTGGGATGAAGTACCACAGGATGAGCAGCGCAAAGACGAGTAAACGAATGGCCATTGAAATCCATTTGAAGCCCAGGCCCATTGCTGCGAGCAGCTGCGCTGAGACGCTGATGGTCCAAAGGACCTGCCGAATTAAATACTGGAGCATTTACACTTCTTTGAGTACTTCTCTCTCTCTCTCTCTCTCTTCCTTTCTCTCAATGTAAATATGTATGGTTGGCTTCCTACACGAGTCACTCAGGAGGGTCTTTTGAATTTACGCCTTCTTCTTCTTCCCAAATGGTACCGCCAGCCGGAAGAGCAAAACCAAAAATAAGTAAATAAATAAAAAAAATAAATCTAGTGGAATTGAAAAAAAAAAAAAAAAAAAAAAAAAAAAAAAAAAAAAAAAAAGGGGGGATGGGCCGCACGTGTATGAATCAACATCTACCAGCAAATAAATAAATACAACGGTAAAAGAGAGTGAGCTCTTAAAGGCGTCATAATAACGCCGCTTGAAAAAAAAAAAAAAAAAAAGATTCAGGCGGTCCATTTTGTCTCATTTGTGATGGAGAGCAGTTGCTTGATCCCATAGGTGCAGGAAATAAAGCCCCTGCACGGCAGTCGCAGCGAGAGGGGGCATACTCCAACTGGTGCCGGCCTGCGTCCCTGCAGTCACCTTCGCTGTCATGGGCATCGTGCTGATGTCTCTTGTGGTGGTGCTTGTTGTTGTTGTTGTTGTTGTTGTCATGGTTGAAGTTGTCGCCGTGCACTTCTTCACTGAAGCCGAGATTCCTGCTGGCACACCCTCTTCCCGCAAAGAAACAACATTTTTGGTCTCCGTCACAACCGTGTCCAGGAGGCATCCATTCAGGCGTGGCGATGGTAGTGGTGGGAGCGCCTCAAAGGGTTCACCACACGCGGTGCAGCTGTTCGGTTCACCTGTCACAATTTCTCGCGCGACACAGGCCCCGCAGGATGTACAGAAGAATGCCGTGACCGGATTCAGCACGTGTGTGATGACACACTCCGCCTCGTCTGGCTCATACAACACGGAGCAGCGACCGCTACTGCCGTGAACCACCGGAAAAGAGGAAAAACTTTCACTCCCGGCTTTCTTTTTATTCATGTCAACGCTGGCCGTTGGCTGCTTCACCACAGCCTGACGGATTTGCCTTGCGATGGCACTGGCACTGCTTTCGGCGACGGCCGTACCTTCCGTGGAGAGTGGCGGCCTGTTGCGACGACGTGTGCTGTTGCCCCGGTTAGGAGAGAAAGGCAGCGCCTGCCGCATGCGATTCACTGCCCCTCTGCCGCTTGTGCCACTCAAACCCACAGGAGGAGGAGAAGGGCCCTCTTCCGCCGGACGTCCTGCCATGGGCATTGGCGCCAGCGGATCCTCCTTCCAAGCGTACTCGTGCAATTGAGTGCACAACTTCTTGTCGGAACTAATTGTCTGCTTTGTTGTTGTTGTTGTCGTCGTCGTCGCTGCGGAGGTGCGTCCGGAGTGCATGACGTCGCTCCTCGCGGACTCCTTACTTTCGTCCGCAGTCCTTGACACAGGAACAAGTGTCTGTGGACTGACCGGCATCCACGTACTCCGCAGCCGCACAGGAGCTCCACGATCGTCCCACTCGATGACTTCACTGCCGCCCACATCTAATGCATTTCCCCCACGATTCTTCTCATCCGCACTGGCACACTCGGCCACATCGGCAAGAAGGATGGGATAAAGCTTGCGCTCGGCCTGCGATACACGTTGGGTGACATCGACGACCATGGCGCTCTCCTCATCATGCAATTTTGCATCACCACCACCACCACTGCTGCTCTCTCTCTCATCGCAGTCGGCGGTAGAAACGCGGCCGTTCTTCGTTTTCTCTACCCTCCTCGGTGCTGTCGTGTAATCCTCATCGTACCACGCCGGAAGGCCTTTGGCTCCGCCCATCCCAGTGCTCTTGTCATTCCCACCACAACCAAGCAAACTGGATGTCGAAAAACCCCCTGAAGCCATGGAAGGATCACCAACGCGCACAACGGAGGGGGAAGAAGACATTTCCCGTTCTATACCCAATTGTTGTTGTTGTTGTTGTCGACGCTCCTCATTCTGCCGATGAACATCTTCGCGAATCAAAGAACGTTTCACCTCCTCACGTGTTGCGCGTGTCTCCTTGAGAGCCCCCTGACGTAGCGACGCCAACACCATGTCAAGCCTACGCAATGCATCTCGTCCCTTGCTGTACATGACGCACGGACCAGCAACGCAAATTCCGGCGAAGAAGGGATAAACGCAATTACGACTTTCTACTGCCCTTTTTTTTTTTTTCCTTTTTTTTTTTTTTTTTTTTTGTATATGAATGATATTTCCCTCTGTTTATGCGTAATTAAATATATGAATAGACACGTATCTCTCTCTATCCCCCCTATACGCAATGTATGTATGTATTTATTTATGTATGTATGGATGCACACGGAGAGTGTGCTATGACCCAGATCAACAGCGGACAGGATCAATGAATGACCGGCTTCTGCGCTACCCATCAAACGACAGCGGACGGGCTCCCACATGTGTCGCCGTCGTTATCATCAAAATGCACATGGATGAAAATCAAATCCGTGTGTTTGATGAGAAAGGGGGAGTAAAAGGGTGAGAAAAGGCAAATAATAATAATAAAAAAGAGAGAAAGAGAGATGTGCAACAAAGTGAAGCGATATGACGGCCGTCATCCCACAAGTACAGGGCTCATTCGCCAGGGAACAAAAATTGCATCTGCAGCCTTCTTCTTCTTTCTTTTATCTTCCCCTCACTCCTCGTTGTGATGCCGTCACTTCTCTTCGGTTCTCTCTCCC